GTGTGTGTGTGTGTGTGTGTGTGTGTAAGTGGTTGGAATGGAGAGTAGAGGGCGTCTTTATTTTTAAACTTACATGAAGACAAATGATTTTTTTTTAGCTCACATGGAAAGACTTCTGTCAGAATCACATTGGCATTTTCTTCACTGAAAAATCAAACAAAGGTTTCACAGACGGTGAAGACAACGGTAAAAATCTCAGAAAAACCTCTAAAGACAAGGATTCTCAAATACAGATGTGGACAAAGCTTGTGCCCTTTTGTAAAAAAAAACAAACAAACAAATAATGGTTACTAATATAAGTTATTTCTAAAGAGTTTTAAGAGGAACCATAAGGTCAAAAAGATCATCAGGGTCAGATCGCACCATCAGTCTGGACTCAATGAATGACTGAGGACTACGCCAAGTTAAAAAAAAACAGACTAGAAATGCATATTGAGAAGACACAAATCTTCAGAATCAGAATCAGAAGATTCAGAATCAGTTTTATTGCCATTGTCAGTGAATACACTGACTAGGAACTTGCAGTTAAGAACACCCATTCTTATTACACACACATAACAAACATTGGGGAGAACGGATGCCCAGGTCTTTCGCAACATTGTCGCGCTACCTTTTGCAGCTTGGAAATACACACAATAGGAAAGATGAGTTAAAAAAAGATGCTCTGATCCTATGTTTACTCATAATCAAACACATGGTACGGGGTGGGATGCAGCGGAGCCGGTGACGTTACTTAATACTCCGTGCTGGAACCAATCAAAGACCCCCAGAGTCCAAAACCAATTTTTATCAACCCAGGCTCAGTTCACCAGATTTCATTTCTCTTTCACCACCACCGCAGCCTTCGGACTGGTCCACCCAAGGACGATATGGGGGAGGGAATGGGGAATCAAGCCTTTGTTCTCATGTCATCCAGGGAAATCTGATAACTGTCGAGCGCCAAGGTCAGCAGCTGCAGAGATCCGAAAGATAAACTTAATTGTTTTGGGACAAGCAGCCTTGAATTTCTTGCTGCTTTAAAGTCTGTAACTGCAACTCTGTAATGGCGAAAAAATGCAGAATGTTTCAAATTTCATCACCTCCTCGCCTCTTTCCGTCTGAAACTTCACCCAGGTGTAATCCTACATCTCATGGGCATGCTGCTGTGCCATGATTCTCGTCAGAATCACATCCAGTTTGCGACTTATTTYCCCCAACATCTGAGTCTGTGCGCTACCAGTACGGGAGATTCCATCCATTGTTCCTGACAGCCTCTCAAGGCCCCGACTGCTGTCAGGATTGCTTTCATTTTCCGATAAGCCAGAGCTCCTCCACAGCTGATAGCAGGAATCCAGTTATCATAAGTCCAAATACTGTATGTACAAATCTTCCAAGTCTTCAATGGAAAGTGGTACCAAATAGATCAGGTTCYAATCCCCCCAAGAACCACTGACCTGACCAGCAGCAACCATTCACTGGGACAGCTGCGCTCCCCTCATTCCAATCTCAATGTGGAAAATATAGTGTCAATTGCGTTCAGAGACCAGTTGACCAAATACACAATTCCTTTTGTTTTCAGATCATAGGTAGAAAAAAGGCTTGAAAAAGCTGTGAAGCAGGAAGGAGGGACAGGTTCAGGAGAGAGAGCAACAGCGTCCGACTCCTCTGAAGGCCAAGCAGAAACAAAAAACAAAAAACTTCTGTGAGAACGTCTGGACAACAGGTCCCAACAAGTGGAACTAATGCCCCTTTTCCACTAGTGCCACTTAGTGTAGTGTAGTAAGCCATTTCCATTAGGCCAGATTCTTGGAACCAGCCCTTTTTTAGTACCTACTTCGTTGTGGTTCCAAGCGGTCCCAGTCGACACCAAAATGCGACGTCAGAACACCGTTAATCACTGATTGTCTAGGGGGTGGTGTCACTGGTTGCGTCTGAGCTGCCTTTACAACAACAACTCGAGGCACCATTTTTTCAATTGTAGCAGCGACATTAGTCGTGTTTCCATCCAACTTTAATTCGAATTTTTAGCACATTTTTAAGATTTCAGAACTTATTTGGCAGTGTTTCCATCTCCCATTTTGAACATTAACACTTTTTTGAAAAACCCAAAAATCACCTCCACCAACCGCCTAAAACACACCCACTGGAACCGGACTGGAACCTCAATGGAAAAGCATCCGAACTGACCCATTCCGACACTGACCGTTCCAACACTAAGTGGCACTAGTGGAAAAGGGTAAGCGCCTGTGGACAGGTGATACAAAATACCTGTTTTAGTGACAACTGAGAGAGCCAAGTGTTCTCCAGCATCTCCTTCCGCTGGGAGGGCGGGGCGTCCCGGACCTTCAGGAACAGTTCGTGAGCGTGGAGGCCGCAGTGCTGACAGACGCCTTGCTCCGCCTCCAGGACGCGAGAGCGCATGTAGGTCTGACTCGAGCGCAGCTGGAACTCCTCTTCGCATCTATAAAAAAAGTCAATTGATAGATTCATAAAACAAAGCTCTCTTCACCCTTATATTCCTCTAAACTGAATCTGCAGAGGTACCCGTGGCTGCAGAAACGAGTGTCCCACGCCCCGCCCATGGTGGGACAGGCCTGTTGGCAGGACAGACATAGAGGGACACCCTGACTGTCCACAGCTTGTAGGTAGCAGGGCTCTGAAGACTGCTGCTTGGCCACTGCCTTACAGGACTGCTGGTCCAGCCTGCAGAGAGGAGACAGAAAATGAAGACCAAAAAAAGCTATTGTTACTAAGAAATACAGTTAGTCGTTAGCAGCTCAGAAGCAGAACAGCAGTGGGTTGATGTTAACACTCTCCTCTGTCCTTTTAGAAATCACATCTGGCCTGAAAGCATTTGTCAAAGGGACTATAGTAAATAAAATGCTATCTTAAATTAAGAAAGTACTGACAATTTTAGCTAAATTCAAGCCAAAGTTCATATTTTTTTTGCATTTTTGCTTTAGGTATATGTAAAAACAACTACTAAACTTAATACAGGAAATGTAAAAATTTGAAAAAGAAACCCCAAGGAGCTGCATTTTGGTAAATGTAAAATCTAGTTTGCATATTGGTCTATGTTTACAGGTCGGTCTATGTTCCGACCCTCACCTATGGTTTTAAGCTAGTTCAGTTCTCCAAGAGAGACTCRGAGTAGAGCTGCTGCTCCTCCACATCCAGAGGAACCAGCTGAGGTGGTTCATCTGGTAAGGATGATCCTTGGACAGCTCCTTAGGGAAGTGTTCTGAACATGTCCAACTGTGAGGAGTTAGGTCCATTTCTATTTGGACGGAGACAACATTTTCCTAATTTTGGTTCTAGACATTACCACAATGAATTTTGAACAAAACCTTTCAGATACAGTTGCGGTTCAGACTCTCAGCTTTAATTCAGTGGGTTCTGTGGTCTCCGAATACCTCAGAAATCATCCGGCTACTTCTGTCCTGTGCCACATCTTCAATAAAGCCATACGTGTCTAAGCCATCACACTGCTCTGCTGTGTTTTACAGAAGATGTGGTGCTTTGGATCATGAGCTGTCCCACGCCTTCAACATACATTTCCATCATTCTGGTAGAGGTTGAGTTTGGTTTCATCTGTCCAAAGAATGTTCTTCCAGCAGGGCGATGGTGTTTTTTTATTTTTTTATTTTATTTTTAGCAAAGTCCAGTCTAGCCTTTTTATTCTTGAGGCTTATGAGTGGCTTGCACCGTGCAGTAAACTCTCTGTATTTACTTTCATACAGTCTTTTCTTTACGATAGATTGTGATATTGATACTTCTACCTCCTGGAGAGTGTCGTTCACTTGGTTGGCTGTTGTGAAGGGGTTTCTCTTCATCTTGGAGATTTTTCTGCCATCATCCACCACTGTTGTMTTCCGTGGGCATTCAGATCTTTTTGCATTAAAGAGTTCACCAGTGCTTTCTTTCTTTCTCAGACTGTAGATTTTGCCACTCCTAATATTGTAGCAATTTCTCTGAAGTTTTTTTTCCTTCTGTTTTTGCAGCTTAAGGACGGCTTGTTTCACTCAAATGGGGCACTCCTTTGACCACAGGTTTTCCTTTAAGAACAGGGTGGCACATGTTAAGGAGCTGAACCCCTAAAGCCTTCATCCAATTTTAATGTGGATACCCTCAAATGAAAGCTGAATGCCTGGACTTTATGTCCATATCCATTATATTGACTATAACTTGAAAACGCTTCAGTGAAAAAGGAAAAATACAAACTTTGTGTCAATGGATGGAAGGATGGATGGATGGATGAGTGGCTGGGTGGATGAATGGACAGACGAAAATCTTTATATGATAGCTCTATCTACAGTACAAGCTAACAAATTAGCATTAAAACATAGAAGTAGATAACCAACATGGGCAATAATTTACTAAAACGCAGTTTTAATTAATTTAAATCAGAAGAAATAGTTGCATCTAACRAAAATAAGAGTAAAAACAAATATTCGTAATGCTGCTAATGCCTCAAAATAATTAAGATGATGATGGAAGGACCTAATCCTAAACTAATGCAGAGTTGTAATCCTTAGCGCAGAACATACAAAAAAGAATTATCCTCCTTTCAGCCTGTGAACTGAATGAAGTGAGGCGAATTTCTGCAGCATCAGTAGAACCGTAAACACCGTTCAGTTTAAAATTTTCATTCCACACAAATAAATCCAAATGTGGAGACAGTCTACGTCTACCTTCAGACTGTTTTTATTCTCGACTCTGATGAATCCCTACAAACACCCCTGGTATGTGCGCATGCTTGTCCTTTTGGCAGAGTACAGCAAATCTGGGTTTTTGCCATGTTTTCACAGCAGGGTGCTCGAGCCACGATGGAGAGGACAGATGGAGCAAATTCTCTTTCCCTGCGGTTTCCAATTCAGAGAGACGGAGAGAGAGGAACAAAGAGCCAGAGAAACCGAGCACTACAGAGGGGGGAAAACGTGATCAWTGAAACGGAGAAGAAAACCTGCTAAAAAAAAAGGAAGCTCATCGCTTAAGTCGAGAAGATACCAAAAACTGGAAGTACCAAGAGACAAATACACTGCCAGAATATTCAGGTAGTTGAAAAAGAGAAAGAAAAAGAAGATTTACTGGTGTGCCCATCTGATAATATTAAAATAAAAATGGTAACCAGAAATAAATTGTTTTCCAGTGACTGTAAATTTCAAAAGATTTTAGCAGAAAAATTAAACCAGAATTGTTTTAGGGCTGTAGATTTGTGTTAAAATTTAAATAAAGACAAACCAATTTCTAAAGAAAATTGGAAGACTAGCAATGCTGCTACTTCCTTCAAAACAACATCATGTGGACTGTCTTACAGCTGGACAGATAGGACAACTGACTGTGGACAGTCTTGGCAACGGACAGACAGGACAACTGTCTAATGGAGGGACAGCTGTGCAGTCTGATATTTCTGTTAAAGGGTTATCAACTCAGAGCTTAGACAAAGTAAATGTCCAAAAACAGACGTCATTACATAATACATCTTATCAAGTCAAGTCAAAGTTTTTTTATGTAGCACATTTACAACAACCTCAATTGACCAAAGTGCTTCACAGCAATCACATCACATTTAGCTAAGGATAAAACAATACATATACACACACACGCACACATGCACATAAAATTATGATAAAACTGAAATTTGTTAAAAAAGATAAAACAATAATAGAATTGGCCATAAGATACCAAAATATAGTAAAACAAAGAAAAACCAAAAACATACTTAGTATAAGTTGCAGCAATTTCCCAAGAACTCAAATCAAATTAAGTACAAATTTTCCTTTTAATTAGTGTTAAAGGCCAGGGAAAACAGATGCGTCTTCAGTCTGGACTTAAACTGACCCAACTGAGAGAGCCTAAACTTATCTCAGGACTCTGTAAAAATTGCAGAGATTGTCTGTGTTGTTAATCCTGTGTGAATCGGCCATGTCAGTAATTTGTAAAGTAAAAACTCCCCCGCAAATTACCTACTATGTTTTGCTAAATCTCTGTGATTTGGCAGGAATGGGCTGAAGCCGATATGTAATTAGGCAATTTTTGTTTTCTGGGCACATTTTTATTTGCTTTTGGTAAGGAATGGAGGCTGGATTGGAGTACATTTCAAACCTTTTGTGTCAGGGCCAGCAAGACTCTGCCGAACCTCAACATGCAGCATCAGGCTGAAGGTGCAAAATCAGATGCAAATGGTGGCTCACATCATGCATTCACCTGTGCGGTAAGAATACTTTTTCTGTTTGTAGCCTGTGACRCTGGCAGTAAGCGCAGCCTGTTAAGGCTCGGTTATAGTCATGCTTTTGGTAGGTTACTTGCGCAGGGCGCGTGTGCATTACTTGCCAGCGGTGTAGGCGTTTATACTTGGTGTTACGTTGTTGTAGTATTCTCCAAAAGGACACGTGGCAGAACACTTTACAACTTATGAAATGTTATAAATAGGAGAGCAAAAGCTTGACAAATAAACAGTTTGAATGGTGAGTGGCGTGTGCAACCTTTGCAGAGTTATTATATCCAGGAGATGTCCATAAATCTCAGCAAAATCTCAGACTTTGGTTATCCCGTGTGGATGCGCCACATAAAAAACAGACGTCAGGGAGTAATTTATTTAATACATGGGGTCCCCAGACAATGCTTATCCTGTGCGAAGAGGGCTTAAGTYTATTTAAATGCTATGAAATTGGCCTCTGTCTATTTAAGAACCTCCTCCAGTTTCTGACACTCCCACTTCAGCACAATGCTTCAGGGGGTAGTGGTGCTCTGTGGGGTGGGAGCTCTGCTTCAGACTGAGTTCCAGGGAGGAGCTTTGTGTAAATAGGCGGGGCTTTGTACTAGCAAGTAGGCGGGGCTTTGTACTAGCAAGTGAGTGTACTAGCAAGTGTTTTGGCAGCTCTACMTGGCTACACAAGGATTTCTCAAACATGCATGAATGAGTCAAAGCAACAATCTGGGTATGTTTTTGATGAGAGAATGACATAACATGACATAAAGCTCAAAAAAGTCCATTTTGCATAATACCCCCTATACCCACTCCATCCCCTTTGACCAAACTGCACATTTTGATCTGATTTTYATCTGTTGTTTTCCAAAACTGCATAGAAAATCTCAAGTTGTGATGGAAACTGGAAGAATAACACCCGCATAGCAATAGACTGTTTATGCATTGGCAGCCTATAATAATAAATATACGTTGAACTAAATTTAAATTCACACACACGCACGCACGCACACACACACACACACACACACACAGAGCACATAAGCGTGTTGGCAGCTCTACACAGCAGCAGTTCTGTGAAAAACTCCTGCTTCAAACCTTAGAAATCCCACAACATGTCTACGGCAAATGGCACGCAGCATGCTAATGTTTACCACCGCAGCTCATCTCTGATGCTTTATACCAAAGGAAATAAATAAAAATTAAACAAAGACAGGAGAGGGGGACGTGACGCCGGGAAGTCCAGCTGTCAGGCGTCGGAGAGCTTGTTCACAGCTGATTCAAAGACAGACTCTGTTTTCATGAATTTTAATTTGTCGCTTCCTGTGGACAGAGACGTAATTTAGAGCTTTTTTATGAGTTATTTTAAAGTAAACAGCTCTAATATTTACTTCCTGCTGTTTTACTACACTACTTGGAACATGAAATACCTCAATCCTTAAATTTGTGACTCTAAACGTTTATTTTCTTGTTTTAATCACACCATGTTGAGAAATATATTTCATGATCTTTTGAAAAACAGTTCAACTGAAGCTGAATAAAGAATAGGTTTGATATTCACATTGTCATACATGGGTTTTACATTTCCCTACACTTTTTCACATAACAACCAGCCTTGGGACCAGGATCTGGCAGGCATCATGGAACTGATGCAAATCTTGCTGGAGCGGGGTGGTTTTAACGCTGCTGCAGGCAGGAGCAGGCTGTCAAAAAGCAGGAACAGAAGAACTTTCTTTTGCCATCAACAAGTTGAGCCTTGAAACTTATAGAGGTGCGAGTAAACACACTACGTTGTGGGTTTTTACACTGCTTCACTGGCAAGAGGCAGAACCTTAGAGCCGTTCTGAAGATAACTGCAATGTATGCAACCCAGGTGTTTCTCAACAATCTAATTAGGTGGTAAAGATCCAAAAACTTGGCTGAGTACACCACGTTCACCCAGCTAACTCTTGGAGGTAGCATGGCTGAGCAACAAACTTTGCTAAACAGACAAGTTTCCAAAGTGAAAAAGAACGAGGAACTAGTTCTGGTTGACCAACCAGTACATTCTGATTTTCTGACACTTTAGTTTTCTAACAGACACTCTGAAATCAGATTTTACCCAGTGTCTCCACTACTCTTATTTTGTTTCTGTTCTGATTTTTGTTTAAACTTATTTCTGCTAGTTTCAGATTCCTTTAGCTTGTTTTACAGATAATTTTAGCTTTTTTCTGCTTTTCAGCTATTTTGTTTTGCTAATTTTGACTTTTGTACTTGTTTTAGCTTTTTTCCACTACTGTAAGCTGCTTCAAGCTGTTTTTCTGCCTTTTTTCAGTGAATTTTCTTTTTTTGTGGATATTTCTGCATCTCTGTGCCAAATTTACAAAACATGTTTTTTTTTCGTCCTGTTTCTGGAAATTTATTTTGTTCCCTGCAAATCTTAGCTGTTTTTCCTCCTATGTTACAGCTAATCTAAGCTTTTTGTTCTCCCTTTTGCTTTTTTCTGCTAATTTGAGCTTTTTTATTTTAGCTTTCTTCTGCAAAATTTAGCTTGTTTGTACTATTTTGAGCTTGGATCAGATTTTTCAGCTAATATAGTGCTTCTTTAACTATCTTTCTTTTCTGCTAGTGTAAGCATTTATGCTACTTTCAACTGATTTTCAGCCTTTTTCCCAGTTCATTTTTTTATTTAGTTTAATTAATTTTCAAATTCCTTATTTTATTTATAAAACATGCTCCTTTGCATTTCTTTTTGTATGCACATTTTAGTGTTACTTCAGCTATGTTACAGCTTTTTGTGCTCCTTTTTTGCTTTTTGAGTAGTTTTACTCTCCTTTCAGTTTCTTTTTGCAAAATTGAGCTTGTTTGCACTCTTTTTAGAATGTTTCTGTTTTTAAATATAGTCCTTCTTAAAGAATCTTTCTGTTTATTTCAGCTTTTTGTGTTTCTTCTAATGTTGTTTTGCTAATTCAAGCATTTTATGCTACTTATATGTGTTCTGCTTGGCTCACAGGTCAAATGTGGCTCGCCATGGCATTTTATGTGGCCTGTGAGGGCATCAAAGATGTATTAATGTCTTAAAATAAGCATATATTGCTTTAAAACCATCACTGATTATAAACTACATCTCCCATAATGAATGCTGATTATTTTACTCATGAAATAACTGCATCCTACTGTGGAGGTACACAAGGTACAAAAGTAACCTGAAGCCAGCATAAGCTGCCATGTAAAACCTTCATTTTGCTGCAGCCCAGTTGTACTGGAAAGTAGGAATTTCCCACTTACATGTCATAAATTTAAACTGGAATGCTCCTCCAGTGAGAATTCCTAGTTGGAAGGTGGGAGAGGTCAGATCTCAAGATGGCAGCTACTCACAACCGCTCAACAGTGAGTAAAACTCTCTTTATTTATTTCACATTTAGTCAGTTGTACATGTAGTACTTTTCAGTGTTTATAGGAGGACGTGTTAAAACACTGTTTCTATGTAAAAAATACCAGGTAGAGCTCAGTTATTGTTTGTTGGCTGAAGAGATGGGATACTGTAAATGGATCTTGGAAAGAATTCGGATCTTGAGGAGCCGTTTGTTTCATAGAGCCGTTCAAAAGAGTCGTTCAATCATGAACGACTTACATCATCATATTTGCTGTTTTACATGATGATGCCATCACGTTATGTGGGTGGAACCGTGTGCTTTGTCAAGCAGAAACTCCCTTTCGTCCTAAGCTGCTATATTTCACCGCTCTGCCTGTTTTCCATGAAAAAGCAAAGCGGGAGCGATTGTCTGTGTTTAAGCAGGAAAAAAACGATTATATGAGGAATAACAAAATAAAACTAACAGCTCTTTACTGCCTGCGACTCGGAACCTATCACTTGTTGTAAGGAGCCATTTAAAAGATCCAGATTGTTTGTGAACATCACATCTCTAGTTAGCGGTGCTCAACCGTCGCAACAAGACAAGAAACGTGATATTTACTATTTAGTCAAAGGTAAACACAAAACGTTGACATTAATTACAACCATAATGCTCATGTGGCCCCCTGTGAAAAAAAGTTTGACACCCCTGTCCTAAACGATCCAGATAAGGTGCAAAACAAATCTTGTCTGGGACATTTTTAAATTTATTTTCATTCTTTCTTTCAGTTATTTGAAAAATCTTTTCCTGTGTAAAGTGATGCTAACCAGCCATTCCAGGTTTCTTTATGCACTTGAAACCCATCAGCCAGTATAAAGCTGTAGGCTGAAGAACAGCACAAATCCCAAACAGCCCTCTTCAGGCACTTTGTGAGCACTCTGCATGCAACAGTGATTGCTGTGTAAGTGTGTGTGTGTGTGTGTGTGTTTGCTTTAAGTTTCCATAGCAATGCTGCCTCCCGGGGTGAGCTGACTGGTGCATCTAAATGGGTGGATTGTATTTTGGTCTATATTTACTGTACTAACACACTCAGCGGGCTTCTGTGCCTCCGCCACAAGGCACAAACAGATCTCCATGGAGACGGGCTGAGAAAGAGGAAAATGAAAATAGTCTGAATCCCAAAGACGACACAAAACACTGTCGCAGACAGACCTTTAAGCATCATAATTAGGACTAYACAATCTTTAAAATGATTGACTGTGGGAGGTTTCTACATAAAAAGAGGAAGATTCCATTTTAGACTTAAAACCTGAGAGGCATTGTGACCTCTCCCACCCTTTCCCCATTTTTTTAATTTTTTAATTTTAATTTTTTTGATTATTGATCCCCCCCCCCCATTTTTGACCAACCTCTCTGCAGCGGACGTTAGCGAGGAGGCCGACCCCCTCTCTGTGAAGAACGCCTGTTTGGCAACCAATCGGACGCTGCCCCCCTCCTCCTGGGCCTTGCTCAGGGAGGCCTGGGCCACCTCATCTCTACTCAGGTACCTGTGAAAAGGAATAGATTACGCTGTGAGGGAGTTCAAGGTTTTGCAGACATTACATAAGCAGAGATCTTGATGATCAAAGTGGATTTGCTCACAGAGCTTTTGGAGGGGGATGAAACCGTAAAGCATCACCGGACAGCAATAGCATCGGGTCCGTCTGACAGTACGTTTGAGGTCGTAGCAGCAATCTTCTGGGGTTTAATCATTTAAATGTAAGATTCACTATCACCCGCAGAGGTGGCACAACTCTACAAATTGCCTCTGTGGCACCAGACTGTGCCTAAACGCTCAAATTCTTCCTCCCATTTCTTATTTCCCATTTTATCTGTGCACTTATGTTCTGTTTGTCTTCCTCCCCACTGAATCCCATTACTATTACTGCTGCTGGAATCTAATTTCCCCAAAGGGATCGTCAATCATCTAATCTAATCCGTCTGCCCTGTCGCCAGTTTTTTTTTCTTCCTTTTTTATGGCCCTTGTAATACAGATGCAAGGCATGAAAGTCGAAATTGCACACCTCTGTTGCAGCCAATCTGGCAGAATTAAAATGACCTCAGGATGTCAGAGTTGACACAAAATACAGGAGGAAAACCAAACTGAGATGTTTGCTCTGGACAGGAGAAAATTGTAGTGGTCTTAGGAGAAAAGTGACCAATCAAAAATATCCAGAACAAACATTAGGGGTCTCCAAAGAGGGAGATGGTACAGCACTCGAATGGTCTCCACAGAGCAATTATCTTCCCACTTTCCTATAAGGTCTGCAGAAACTCTGTGTCGGGCTATTATTTCACAGAGCGAGTACAAACGCTGTGACAAAATACCCTTTTGTTTCACCAGCAACACACTATAACTATTATGTCAAAGCCTCCAGCTGGCGACTGTACAACCACTACCGTTCCAAAGCTATCCGTCTCTGCTGGAAATCAATGAATCATCATTACAGTCTCAACAGTTAAATTCCAGCACAACTTTAAATGTCTCAAAAGTGACTGCTTCGTTAATACAATCTGAAACGTCACCGGAAGTTTTGACGGCGAGTTATAAAATAGGATTAACAGAATCTCACCTGACGTTTTGGGATTCAACAAAATCCAGTTCAACAGTCACGCTAACAAGAAGATCTCTTGAAGTAGGTTTTATGGAAAGGTTCTGTGTAATCCAAATATTACTGACTGTAGACATCTACTTGAACACCCTCAGTCTGGAGGGACAGAGTTAAATCTGTCAAAACTAACAGGCTAATAGCTAGTCTGAATGGACCTGTGACCAAAGTGGACCACTGTCGTCTTTAACCTGTTGTCTTAAAGCAACTCTTATCTCAAAGATTTCATAGAGGATTGAACAAATTCTGTTTTTTAAGCCTTTAATTTCTCTATTACAGTTACAGCGGGTAAAATAAGTATTGAACACGTCACCATTTTTCTCAGTAAATATATTACTAGAGGTGCTGATGACATGAAATTTTCACCAGATGTTGGTAACAACCAAGTGATCCATTCATACAAAGAAATCAAACCATAAATGTCCAGAAATGAAGTTATTTGTAATAATGTGGAATGGCAC